GTTGTTGTAGGTGCACCCGTTGTTGTCACACCAGTTGTTGTAGGTGCACCAGTTGTTGTCACACCAGTTGTTGTAGGTGCACCAGTTGTTGTCACACCAGTTGTTGTAGGTGCACCCGTTGTTGTCACACCAGTTGTTGTAGGTGCAGCAGTTGTTGTCACACCAGTTGTTGTAGGTGCACCCGTTGTTGTCACACCGGTTGTTGTAGGTGCACCAGTTGTTGTCACACCAGTTGTTGTAGGTGCACCAGTTGTTGTCACACCAGTTGTTGTAGGTGCATCCGTTGTTGTAACACTAGTTGTTGTAGGTGCATCTGTTTGTGTAGTAGCAAGCTCAATGGCCACTATTTGTAATGAGCAGAAGGATTAATGTTTTTAGAATAACTTTTTCTTTCAGTATTGTAAACACCTTCATTGCAGTTATTATTAACTTACCTATTACTGTCAGCAAAATTGATAAGATTGGTCCAACACCCATTGTGTCTGCTCTTAAACCTGTAAGATTTGACAGTACAGTTACTTACTGACAGAGGAAGTATACAAAGAGACAGGTTATTTTATTTTAAATTCCTTTTGGCTTTTTGCCTATTGGACAGTGACAGTGATACACTCATCATATCACTATCCTTAATGTGACAGTGATAAATAATAAAATAACAAAAGGCCTATATAAATTGTCTTAAATTCAGATTGAGTTCAGATTGTCTTTGATGTTTTTGTGTCACATCACTGCAAGAATTTCCACTATGGGAAATGTCATTTTAACAAGAGAAAAGACAACTTTGACACATCACCTGTATGTGCGAAAACACCTTTTTTCACTCCCTCTGTGCATTTAGATTACACAGTGAATCTGCATCATTAAACTTAGGCCTTGCTAGTCAGCCTGCTTGTTAGTTTATTTTTTGTGGGTGAGACATAGAGTATCATCAGCGTAATTTCATCCTTACTGTTTATTTTAAAGTGACATCAGTGTGTTTGCTTGCAAAGAGGCAGCACGGTGGCACGGTGGCTTTGCCTTGCAGTCCAAAAACATGGAGGCTAGGTTAACTGGTGACTCTAAATCAGTCATAAGCATGAATGATTGTCTGTCTCTATGTGTCAGTCCTGTGATAATCTGGTGACCTGTCCAGGGTGTACCCCGCCTCTTGCCTAATGCCAGCTGGGATAGTCTCCAGCCTTCCCGCAACCTCTAACAGGATAAGCAGTTATGGAAAATTAAAGAATTAAAAGAGTATATTTTGATTTTTTTGTTTGTAATTCTGAATTTGTTTAAACTGGTGTTTAAAATGTCTTGAAAGTCCTAAATTTAACTTCTTTATTCCTGTTGTGAACACCCCATAAATGTATAGTATTAATTCAGAAATAAAAAAGCTCAGACTGTACTATTGCGGCCCAAGTGAAAGGGATTTCTCTGAATACAGTTTTGACTGGCCTAATTCAAAATGGAGATGCAATGCAAGTTTAACTTACAATAGCAATGATGGACATTTCCAGTACTTTTACTGCTTGTTGTTGTATTGCCATAACCACAGTTACGCCACAGTCAGTAAACCCAGTTAAGGAACCTTAGCTCATGCCTCATGCTAAAATTGACAGCCAAAGTGCACAATGGAAATGTAGTTTTTAAAAAAAAATGTTGCACTGTTAAATAGACTGTCTTTTCAAACATTAAAAAAAGGAAATATTTTACTGAATATAATAGAATCTAATAAAGATATGGTACAGCCATTTGGTTTTTATTCCTCTTGAAGCTTAAAAGCCATCTCAGCATGAAAAGTGTTGTACATTGTAAGTTAAAGTGGCTATACGTTATGCCAAAACTGAACATAGTTAATACATCCATATTTTGGTCAAGTATTTAAAAATAGAAATCCAGCACATATATTTAAAGGATAGAGCCAAAGAAAAAGTGGGGGAAAAAGGGATCCTCCAAGAAATATTGAAATATTGTTATTGTATTTTTAATCATAGCTGTAGAATGAATGGAATCAAAAAGATAAGCCTTACAATAATGTAGTAAAACCGCAGAAGCACTACATAAAATGCAACCAAAAATACATTATAGGGAAGTGTAATTTACAGTTGAATAAAGATACCCCTATATATGTGTGTGTATATATATATATAAATGTACTTACCCCACAAAATAGTCACAATTTATGAATAATATTTTTTAGATCTGCATTATTCTAAAACTGATTCAGACACTCGTTATTTCGTCTGCCCTGGTGCACATCTCTAGTGATGCCACCTGTTTGTTCAGCTCTTATATATGTTGCTGCAAAGTAAAAGGTTGTGTGTTGCAACATGGGGAATAAAATGAAGGAAGCAAAGAGGGGGAAAAAAAACTACCCGCACTGCTTCAGATTGATTGTCACTGTCATGGTTCAGCCACCAGACAATCCTGAGCACTTTTGTTTATGCATTCCACTCAAGTGACCCAACAGGATGTCATTATCATGTATCTTACACAGGTAGAGCTGCAAGATAATTACTTAATCATAATTTAATATAATATTCTGAAGATAGCTACTGTTAAAAACATGAACTGGACATGAACTTTGTGAATTTGTACATTTTCAGTAGGAGTGGGAGTTTCTGTGCTCATTCAAAGTTCATTAAAAGTCAGGTGAAAAACATGATAGTGAAAGATTACAAAGGCAAGGCAACAACGTCATATCTCTGACCAAAGCATAGAACTCAAATTTAGCATTGACTCACGCTGTGTACTGACTGACATTCACAGATAGTAAAATTCCTCACTGGTGGGTCAAGATTACTGCAACATACGTACAGTTCCTGTGACTTTAACGAAACTTTATAAAGGATCCCTCAAAGCAAATGTCTGACCCGGCCCAGGTTGATATGATTATACATATCAAACAGTATGACATATATTCAATCTTACCCTAGTAACCAGACTCCAGCTATGTGTAGCTTTTTGGGAGTACTGTCTGATAATGGCAGGTGGCATTTTGAGAATGTTTATTACATGAAACTCTTTAACGGATCCACTGGCTTTCAGTGTGAGAGCTTTACCAAACTGGAACCACAAACACACAGAGGCAGATGTGTTGGTCCAAAAGTCACTTTTACTAAGATCTCTGTCTTACCTGAATATAAATTCCACACAAAGAGAAAATAAATAAAAATAAATAAGTGGTAACAAAGCATGACAAAGCATCTATTAGGCATGAATAAGTGATTTATTTGAAGTGTAATTAATTGCAGTGTCCTAAACAACAGCAGTATTGGTTTCAGGAGATTGGGAGTATAAAAACAATAGGATGAACAGAGTAAGAGAAATGAGCACAAATTGTGCAGGTGGATAAGATCACAAAAGGACACCAAAACATCAGAGCAAAACAAAATCAAATGTAGGAAAAATCAAGTTACATCAAATTTAATAGTGTTAGATTTGTTATTGACTTTTTTTTTCTTAGAATAGTATTTTTAAAGGTAAGACTTGCTTGCATCTTTGAAAAGGACACACAGACAGAAGAGAGATGGGGTGTGTCACCTGCCCAACCAGCACAAATATGTAGGAAGAAACTCTGTGGACATCTTTCAGTGCCTGCCTTACATTAACAGACCTTGTTATCATACATGGCACTGGTAGCTGAGTGATATATCTATTTGTGGCTGCACACTGTCTTACTTCACAGTTACCACTGAAGCCATGTAACAGATGGCTGCACATAGTCAATGATCAGCTAAGAAAACTAACACTCAGTGTTAGAAACTGACATTAGGTCTAGGACCAGACTCAGAATGAGGATTTCCAGCTCCCAGTGTCTTATTCACACCTCTGGTGGCAATGTGGGAATCTGTGAAATTAAAAGAAAAAGATAATTAACCACAGAGAAGATCTAGACATATATAAAGGAATACTTCCCGCACAAAATAACCATTTGTATGTCAATTAATCATGTCAAGTTACCTTGATATTGTGGGGAAAAGACAACATATTTTTCTCGCATGCCTCCACAGAGCATATTGAGGACTTCCCAACCTTACTATTTAAAACTGAGCTGAAAGTGAAACATATCTATGCTCTCTTTTAAGCTTGATTCAAATACTGAGAATTTTAAGCGAAGTAACATGTTTTGGAAGGGCTGAGCATATGACTGGATCAACTAGACTTGGATTATACTGCACAAGTTTTGTGAGAGTTTGTAAAGGGATATTATTTTGTATAGTTTGTTGTTGTTTAAATGTGATCTCCAGTCAATCACTAAATCATGTTTCATGGAGGCATGTGAGAAAAACAGTTTTCTTCACAAATTTAAAGTAACGCAGCGTGACTAACTGATAAATAAATGGTCATTTTGTGAGCCAAGTATTCTTCCGAAACACCAACCTGTCAGCCCACGCATTTTAAATGTCTTGTAAATGTGGATGCATGAGGCATAGGCACTAGGCACTAGGCTGTAAGTACAGCAAATGTTTGTAAATGTGCTTTTGTATTTTTTTGTCAATAGTTAAATGAATGGATTGGGACCCCTCTCAAGGTATCACTCCTCTCATCTAACACTCAAAAAGTAAAAGAGGGTGTTTCCCCAAATGCCAAACAATTCCTTAAAAACCTTTAGAATTACCTCACTTGTGTTGCTCTAATCAGGCTCGTGTTGCTCCTCAGAGTCTGCATCCGTGGCATTTGAAACTGGAAATGTGGTCCAGATCACAGTTGGGTAATCAAAGGCAAGGGGCCTCACAGAAGCAATTTTGGGGCTATATTTGAAAAACACTATATTTCCTCTGGTTAAGGGAAGAGCAGTAGGATCAACTTGCTGCTGTGTCGTGTTGGCTTTGGCAGGATTTAGGGTTGATGCATCTGAGATAAATGTCGTTGATATCACAGGTTTTTGGGAGTCAGATGATGTGGTTTGAGACACAAGTTCAGATGATGACATAGAGCTGGATGGCACAGTTGCAGGGACAGCTGTTGACATGTTTGTTGGAGTTGCAGTTGTCACAGTTGTTTCCACATTTGTTGTCCTGGTAGTCTGAGGTGAGTTCATCGATCCTGCTGTTGAGTTAGATAGTTGGGGGGTTGGGTTTGTAGATGCAGTGCTGGAAGGTGCTTCACTGGGGACCAGTGAGACACTTTGCTGTTGTGAAGCAGAGGGTATGCCTGTTGATTGTATTGTACTTTGTAATGCTGACGTATCAGCTGGCAGTTTGGTGAATGTGTTGGGAGGAACTGATGAACGTCCACCATTTTGTGTATTCATGGATGTAGTCGAGGTTCCTGAAGGGCTACTTAATGATGGACTGAGTGTGATGGGAGAGGCTGAACTCTGTGGAGGGGTGCTGATTGTAGATTTTGGAGATGTTCTTGGTTGCTTAGTAGTCTCACTCAAAGGTGTTGTGGATGCTTTAGGTTGAGTCACTGTAGACAGTGTTGGCAGGTGTGTTGATGAAGAGTCTGTTGCTGTTGTTGCTGGAGTAGGTAAACCATGGGCTGTAGATTCAGGTGCCATTACTGTGGTAGTTTGTGTTGCTGTTGTGACAGAATCTGTCATGTGTCTTGGAACAGATGTTTCTTCGCTTATTAAAAGTGTACTATGTAATGGAGTTGTGTGAATTGTTCTTGACACACTTGTCGTTTCAGATGCTGTAGCTTCTACTTGAGTTGTTGCTGGTGTGGTTATGACTGCAGTCTGTGTTGATCTTTGTAGTGGTGTTGCCAAAGACGGTGTTGTTTGTGTCAGTGTACTGGGTGATTTTATGGTGGGTGAAATAAGCTCTGTTGGTGTTGCTGTGAACATGGTTTCCAAAGCTCCTCTAGTTTGTGTTGATGTTTTTTGTGTTTGAGTAGTGACTGATCCCTGGTGTGTTGGTATTGTGCTGTGAACTGTTGTTGATTGAGGGCTTTCGGCTGTTGGTATTGTTAATGATGCTAAGGTAGGTGTTGCTGAAGTGACTGAATCTGTTGTTACATGTGTTGTACGTTGTCGTGGAGTTGCTGATTGTGTGTTAGCAGTTGTAATTTGTGTCACCCCTCTTACTGTTGTTTGCTTAGCGGTAGCTTGTGGCAATGTTGTAACAGATGAAGTGGGTTGTAATGTTGTTGCAGATGCTTCTGTTGTGGATACTGTAGACACTGCCGTCTGTGTAGATGTAAAACTACTTGTAGATACGTGGAGAGTAGTTGTGGGTGAAATAGATTGTGTTGCTGATTGTGATGTTACAACTGTCATTTCTGTTGGTCTTTGTGGTGGTAAATCACTGGATGCTGTAACTTGTGTCGGTGTTGCTGATGATTCTACTGTGAGTGGAATAGATTGTGTTGGTGTTGTTGTGGACACTGTTTCTACAGATCCCCTAGTTTGTTCTGTATATGCTGTTGCTGTTGTGGATGATGTTTGTGACGTGGCTGATTCTGTTGTTTCAGATGCTGTACTTTGTGCTGATTGTGTGGTTGCTGTAATCTGTGTTGGTCTTAGTGTTGGTGAAACCACAGATGATGTAGTTTGTGTTGATGTTGTTGATTCTATTGTGAGCGAAACAGATTGTGTTTGTGTAGTTGTGGGCACAGTTTGTGTTGTGAATTCTGTTGGCGTAGACTGTGTAGGTTGTGTTGTTGTAGTCACTGATCCACTCTGTGTTGATGGGTTGTGAATTGTTGTAGATTCAACAGTTTGTTGTGATGTGGGTTGTTCTGTTGTTAATGATGCCAATGATTGTGATGTGGTTGATTGTGTTGTTACAGGTGTTGTAGTTTGTGCTGATTGTGTGGTCACAGCTGTGGTTTGTGTTGGTCTTTGTTGTGGTGAAACCACAGATGGTGTAGTTTGTGTCAGTGTTGTTGATGTTTCTACCGTGGATGGAATAGATTGTGTTGTTGTTGTTGTTGTTGTTGTTGTTGTTGTGGACACTGTTTCCACAGATCCTCTAGTTTGTGTTGTAAATGCTGTTGCCACTGATGGCGTAGTTGTTGTCATTGTAGTCACTGATCCACTATGTGCTGATGTGCTGTTAATTGCTGTTGGTTCAGCAGTGTGCATTGCAGCTGCGGGTTGTTCTGTTGTTGATGATGCTGATGTTGATGTTTGTGAAGTCACTGATTTGGTTGTAGAAGATGGTGACGTTTCTACTGAAGTTGATGATTTTGTAGTTACAGCTGTGCTTTGAGTTGGTCTTTGTGATGTGGCTGGTTCTGTTGACACAGATGTTGTACTTTGTGTTGTTGATGTTGATGGTTCGACTGTGAGCAGAACAGTCTGTGAAGTTGCAGCCGTGGAAACACTTTGTGTTGTGAAGGTTGTTTGCATATTTGATGTAGTTTGTGTTGTTGTTACTGATCCACTAGGTGTTGATGTGCTATGCATTGCTGTTGGTTCAGCAGTGTGCATTGCAGTTGTGGCTTGTTCTGTAGTTAATGATGCTGATGTTTGTGAAGTCAATGATTGAGCTGTTACGGATAGTGCAGCTTCTACTGAAGTTGTTGACTGTGTGGTCGCAGTTGTAATCTGGGTTGGTCTGTGTGCTGGTGAAACCGTGGATGCTGTGCTTTGTGTTGGTGTTAATGATCGTATTGTGAGTAGAACAGATTGTGTCGGTGCAGCTGTGGAAACAGTTTGTGTTGTGATCATTGTTGGCCTAGATAGTGGTGTTTGTATAGTTGTAGTTGTTGCTGTGGGTTGTTCTGTTGTTAATGACAAAGATGCTGTATTTTGTGTAGGTGTTGTTGATGATTCTGTTGTGGATTGAATAGACTGTGTCGTTGTTGACACTGTTCCCACAGATGGTGTAGTTTGTATTGTTGTAGTCATTGCTGTGGGTTGTTCTGTTGTTAATGATGCTGATGTTTGTGAAGCCACTGATGTAGTTGTTACAGATGGGGTAGATTCTGTTGAAGTTGTTGACTGTGTGGTTACAACTACGCTCTGTGTTGGTCTTTGTGTTGGTGAAACCACAGATGATGTACTTTGTGTTGGTGTTGTAGATGATTCCACTGTGGGTAGAATAGATTGTGTCTGTGTTGTTGTGGAATCAGTGTGTGTTGTGAATGTTGTTTCCACAGGTGGTGTAGTTAGTGATGTTGTAGTCACTGATCCACTGTGTGTTGATGTGTTTTGGATCGCTGTTGGTTCAGCAGTGTGCAATGCAGTTGTGGGTTGTTCTGTTGTTAATGATGCTGATGTTGATGTTTGTGATGTGGCTGATTCTGTTGTTACAGATGGTACAGCCTCTGCTGAAGTTGCTGATTGTGTAGTTACAGCTGTAACTTGTGTTGGTGTTGTTGATGATTCTATTGTGAGTGAAGACGATTGTGTTGGTGTTGTTGTGGACACTGTTTCCACAGATCCTCTAGTTTGTGTTGTCAATGTTGCTTCCACAGATGGTGTAGTTTGTATTGTTGATGTAATTGCT